CCCCCCCGAGGCAGAACCCCCCTCAAAAAAAAAAAAAAAAAAAGTTTATATATATATATAAAAAAAGCAAACTCTTTACCAATACTTCTCAAAAAGTGGTACAAAAATACAGTATAAAAACACAGCCTCCAGTATAAGACTCGCAGTTACAGCAGCAGTTTCTAGAACATAAAATCCAAGATAAGCTACTGCGTGAAGTGGTAAGAAAGTGAGGTACGGTCCAGCCGAGCAAGGGGATTGCCCACAGGGAGCTGTTAACCACAGTGAGAGACATCCTGATATCGCCATCTCCATGGAGATCCATCCAGAGACAAGCCTCATGTGTTGGGCTCTCTGTGTCTGCCTCCACCTGAGCCGAAGCAGCCCATGGTTGCTCGGGATTTTTAGGGTGAGATGGATGCCCAGGGGCAGCTCCCAGCGGCGCTGTTGGTGGCAAACAGCGGAGAGGGGTGCAAGGGGGAGGAGTGGAGTCGAGCCCACAATTCGAAGCAGTCACTTGAGAAAGCTTCACAGGGGGGACAGGGGACATCTTGCAACACCCGATGACAAGAAGCCAGCCCCAGGCAGGTGATGCCAGGGGGGGGGAGCCCTGCTGTGGCCCCATTCCTACAGCTGGGAGCACCACTGCAGCCACCCCACGTGCAGCAACCGCCGCATGCTCCAGCCCCCTGGGGCCAACAGTTCAACAAACAACCCCCAAAAAATTAAAAAATGTACAAATTGAGAGGGAGACAGGGGGTTGTGGGGACCGGGGAGGGGGGGGCGGGGAGCATGCTGCGTGCTAGTGACCCTTGAGGTGAGCAATCCGTTTGAGCAACTGGGTCTGCCGCAGCCGTAGCTGCCGCTTCTCGGCTGCCATCCTCCTCTCGGCACTGATGAGAGACTGCAGGTACTCGGAGGATTTGCTCAGGATCACCACTTTGGGCGTCTTGGGGCAGCTGGCGAGCCCGGGCACCTGGTCCCGCAGGGCCAGGAAGCGTGAGCGCAGGTCGTTGCGTCGTTTGCGCTCCAGGTAATTGTGGTTTTTCCTCTTGGCCACATCCTCGCTGTCGGAGCCGGGGCTGCTGCCGGCTTTTGGCAAGCCAGGCTCAGGCAGCGTGATGGCAGGGGCCGACTCAGCGGGGCTCAGTGGCTCCCCCCCACCCCCCTTGCGGGG